TAGGGCGTGCAGCCCCCGGGGCTGAGGCTGCAGTTTTGCAACAGCACGGGAAATGGGTGCTTCTCCTGATAAAACATTCTGGGGCTTTCAGCTGGCAGGGGAGGGGGTTGCAGTTATGCGAGGGAATTTGCATATAATGCAGAAGGGTTTGCTGCTAATAGGTTGCAGGTGAAAAAGGAATTTTGTGCTGCTTTTTGAAGTGGGTTTTTCTGAAAAATGTGTCACAGGGAAGTGTGTCTGTTCGTGAAAGAGAACAGCGGTGAGCACGCTTTGTCTAGGAGGAGCCCAGCAGACCTTGCTTTAGCCAAAGACGAGGGAGCGGGAAGAAGAGAAGCAGCCTTTCTTCTCAACTGGAGGCGCGTCAAGATGGGAAACAAGTGAGGTGAAGGCCTGGTGCAGCAGAGCAGAGGAGAGCGACGAAGGGGCAGCTGGCCAGGGTAAATCTTTGCGGCACAGAGGGGAGACGGTGATTTCAAGGAGGGGGCAAAGCAGCGTTCGCAGGCTGGGCGGCAAACATAACGCTGTTTGCACCTTCCTTGAACACTGTGGCTGTTAAGGAATGGATCCTGTTCCTGAATCCTGTACATGAGAGCTTTTCTGCAAAAACGGCAAATACTTTGCCTCTTGTTTTCTGCCTCTTTGAGCAAATCTTCCTTTGGTAGTGCAGCCCAATTCCAGAGTTAATCCGCCCGGTGTGGGACCCTGATGGGTCGCGTCTGTTAGCTGCGGAGGTTACTGGTGCTCTGGCCCGCACTCAGCGGGATGGCGGTGGTGTTTGGTGAGGGGGGTTGAGGTGGGGGCCCTGTGGGGTGGGGAGAGGCTGAGGGAAGGCCCAAAGCAGGGGAGGCTGGGAGTGCAGAGGTTCGGTGGCTGGGGCTACCAGACAGAACCCCCTGCTGCTTTTTTGCTACCAGCGTGCGTGAGCGTGTTGCGTGCGCTGCGCAGGACTGCGCCTCTGCTGCCTTAGGCAGCGATGGCGGTTCTAAACCCCGCCAGGCCGGGTGTGCTGGGGAGGGCTCCGCTGTACCCACCAGCCGCTTGGGAGCCTCTCCAGGGGATGCGCCCGCCTCGCTGAAGTGGCAACTGGGCAGCTACGTTTCTTTTCCTGTAGCAGCAGCGCGGGCAGCGAGGAGGGGCGCTGCGGGCTGCGAAACGCATCGCTGCTTATTTGTGCTGCTTGCATAGGGTCGGACAGGTCGGTTCTGGGCCTCCACATCCTACTGTAGCGTAGGCAGAGGCACAGCCGGGCTAAGCAAGCCTCCACTCAAACCTGCGTGCACGTGTCTACGCTGCGTCCCTGGGCTGGGATATTCAGTGCAGGGACGGCCGCACCTGACTGCAAAGCCGTGCAGGAGTTAACCTGGCCCGTGGCTGTGTCCTGGCCTGGCGGGGTCCCGGGAGGTTGCTGGGGGGAGCTGCTGGAAGCCGTCCAGCTCCAGACTGAACTTCACAGCGCCTGGGTGCTCCGGGCCAGCGTATCCCTTCCCGCAGGCCGGGAGCCCTTCCAGCCAGGTGAAGCTCAGTGACGGCTGGAGCAGTAACAGCACCAGGCTCTGGGGAGGGGTGAGGTAAGTGCGGAGGCTCAGCCCTGACGTGACTTAGCCGATGAGCAATGCAAAAATCCCCACATCAGCCCAGTCTCGCAAGTTGCCTCTCAGGGCATGGGCACAGCTGAGCGGGAGCGATCGGAATCTTGTGTTTCTGCTGGTTTTTTGTGGTTTTTTTTTTTTAAGAGTTCCTCTTCACCTTCAGGCCTGCACCAGGGACAGCACCCTGCTCCGTAGTAACTCACACTTTACAGTTGCAGCAGCGCTCAGCAATCCAAAACTGAGAAGCAAGTCCGTCCACGTTAGCGCTGCACAGGCCCCGGCAATCCCGCCTCTATCCGGCGGGTGTCAGCACCGGAGAGCCCGTCCCGATGTGGGACCAGGCTCTGCTGGCCTGGGTGCCTTGGCAGCGCGGGAGAGGGGCGGGCTGCACCCTGGCTGCGACTGCAGAGCAGTGGCCGTGGTGGGCTGTGAGCGGCTCTGGCGAGCCCGTTGTAGCCATTACCTCCTGCTCACAGGGGCTCTTTCTCTCTCGTAGGCGCTCTGAGAGAGGGAACATTTACTGGAGCGTGTGTGCTCCCTTCCCAGCTGCTGAGGACAGAGTGAGACCGCAGGTGAGACCCCGTCACTCACTCACAGGGATTTCACCTGTTCTGGGGATCCAGGCCTCTGTCCGCTGCGTACCTGGGGGCAGGGTTCTGGCCCCAGGTCCCACACAGAATTCTGGTGTCCAGGCACCGAGCGGCGTGAGAACGCCTGATGAGAACGAGGTGGTGGCTCTTCATTAATCTTTGATCAGGACTGGCAGTGGCCAGCGCAAGTCAGCCAGGCGTGGGAAGACCAGCTGTGACTTGGCTTTATCCTCACAGGGCTCAGGATCCAAAATCTGCTGCTCTCAGGCCCGCTTTCCAGCGAAGCCTAATGGCCTGCTCACGCCTGCTGCATTGGAATGAGCTGGCGCTGCTGCCCGCTGCTTTGTGAGTGTCTTCACTACGGGCTGATGCCAGGGCTTTGCGCAGCACTCGCTGCCCTCTGGGGAAACAAGACGCAGCTTTTGGGGCAGGCGCCGAGAAGGCACCGAGACGGGGCTGAGCCGGAGCCCCCAGGCAGGGCCTGAAAGGAACTCGGCCGCGTTCCTAGAGGAGGGCTCGAGCTGACCGAGAAAAGCCGGTCTTTTCTCGGCTGCTGCAGGGCTGCTTTGTCTGCTTGGTAACTTCTGGGCTCGGGCCGTTGCTGCCAGGCAGGCAGAGCCGGGGATGGCGGCTGCTGCCCAGGAGACCTGTGTGCTCGTAACGTAAAGGGGCGGGCAGGGGGTGCACACAGCCTTTTCTCAACACTTACGCGCCGTCGTGTCAGCCACCCCCCATTCCGAAGGGCCAGCGTTAGCTCTGCTGTCGGCAGAGCAGGCAGGCTGGCCCAGAAATAACGGAAATGAATTTTTGTCACTGAAGCTTAGACACAAATATTTATTAAGCACAACCCCCCCTTCCCCTTGAGCTGTATTCGTTTCTAATATATTAATTCATTTGGCAGATTATTTTTTAGAAAAAAAAAGTACCTGTGGGTTGGAAATTCCCCATTAAAATGACATTAGCAAATGCACATGTAAAAAATAAATAAGCTCATACATTCAAGTATATGGCAAATAATTAACACCTCTGAAAGCTTAACGGTCAGATTCCAGTTCACCACCTGGCTGAGAGCTGCACAGGCCTGAGCCTGCAGCCGGTCAAGTCATCCTCATCTTCAACATTTTCCTCCTCTTCCCAAACGCACGCCGGTACGTCGGTGGCTGGGCAGGTCCTCCTGTCCCTTCTCCAGAGCTCTGAGCAGCCCCTGGAAGGAGGCCGAGCCGCGGCCAGGCAGTCCGCGCGGCAGCGTAGCAGGTGAGTGCTCCCTGGTAGCAGGTAGAACGCAGCTACCCCTCCACGTGGTCAGTGCAGGCAGGTTAAGATGCCCGATGAGCAGCATCACTGGTCTAACTGCTGGTTGGAAATGTTTCCATCAAATGCATTTCGAATAGAAAGTGCTGATTTGTTCTCTATAGGAACGTATCTGCTTTGGCAGAACTCTGCTGGAGTGTCTCAAGTCCAAGATAGCCTGTCTGGTCAAGCAAAGAAACATACTCCACCTCCTGAAGTTGGATCCCTGCTCCCCTCCTCCCTGCGCTTGCTTTTCCAGCTGTTCCAAAAGGGGAAGGAATGAAAGTAAATGCAGACCCTTGGCGCGTGTGTGTGGGGTGGAGCCGGCTTCCCCACCAGCACCCTGCTCTGCAGCTCCCGCGAGGCCCCGCTACTGCAGACGGAGGGGGCAGAACAGGAGCGCCGTGCGAGGGCAGCTCTGCCGGGGCCTGCGGGGACGGGGAGAAGCTCAGCACTGGATTGGGGAGGGAAGGGCCTTTACCTCTGACTGCTGTTGGACACGGAAGGGAGGAGGGGATGGTTCTGCTCGCTCTCCTGATGAGCCGTGGCCAGAAAACGGTGCCGGCTCTCAAAGCAGGTCATTGCCAAAAGCGGGCTTCTGCCTCGGGTGCACTCACCTGCACGCAGGAGAGTCCTGCAGGAGACTTCTGGCTCAGCGGCACCAGAGGCAGGGAGTTGCCCACGTTTGCCTTGTGCTGAACGGATGGGCAGAGACTTCCCTTCCTTCCGCCCTTCCCAGGCACAGGCCCCTGCCTCGGGGCTGCGCTTCGGGCTGCACGGCTCTTCTCTAGAGGTACCCAAATCCCACCGAAGCTCAGGGTGGGCAAGGCTTTGCTCCTGCTCAGGAGCTCCCGGCCCAGCTCTGCACAGGACTGCAGCTGGGGAAGCGGAGGGGGTGTCGCAGGGCTCGCTGCGGAGTCCTAAAATAAACTTTAAGGTGTGGGGGACCATGGCTGCGGCTGGGGCGGGGGTGAGGTTTAAAAGGACCACTGGAGCCTCTGACTTGGGCTCATTTCCTCCTGTAGAAAGAACAGAGCTGAGCAAGACGTTCCAGGGAAGAATCCGGAGCAATTTGTGTCACCTCGTGATGCAGGCAAGACAGGAGGACTTCAAAATGGAAAAGATGCTCTTCCCTTCCCCCATTAAATTAAAAGTGTTGTGGAAATAAAAGACATCAAGGCTGGAGTTAACTACCCGCTCCGGGCTCCTCCTGCGGCTGATGGCACAGGTTCCTGGATTTTCAGGTGTTTAGCAAAGGGGCTGCCAAAGTCTCCTTCCCTCGTGCTGTGCCCAGCGTTGCAGTGGCCGTGTGTCCTAAAAACCCCTTGTTTAGAAAGCGTCCCCCGCCTGCTGGGCCTTCCTGTGGCACTGCCTGCACAGAGCAGCCAGGCGCAGGGCGGCGGAGGTGCGGCTCCTGGGAGAAGTCTGTGGTAGCGCGGGAGCGCTCGGGTTTGAAACCACCTACACTTTTTTTTTCCTTTTAAAAAACAAAATGAAACCGAAACAACCCCCCCCAGCCAAACCCCAGTTCTTAGCTGGAACCAGGCCTCTGCTGCTCCTCTCCTGCCTCCTCCTGGGCTGAGGCCAAATCTACCCGCTGCTCGTCCATGCGTTTGGCCTGGACGCGCTGGATGAGGCTGAAGAAGTCTTCGTCGGGCATGGTGGGGCCGCGGGGGATGGAGTCGGGTGGTGCGCAGCGCTGGTCATCTATCCTGGAGGACTGCGCGGGGAGGAGAACAGGCTTTCGGACTGAGCGCTAAGACAGTCCCGTCATGGAAGTAAAGGGCTGGGGGCAGTGCCCAAGAGGTGTCCGGAGCACGTGCTCCCCGTCAGGGCGCAGGGCAGCGGCACCAGCAGCGCCGCACCCCGCTGCGGGCTGCAGCGTGAGGGAAGAGCAGCGACCCAGGGCAGGGCTGCGGGCGCTGCCTGGAAGGCGGGTTCTGCAGCCACCCTCCCAACCTGGGGAGCGGTGACAAAGCGCAGCCCTCGGTAGAGGGGAAAAAGAAGGACCTGGAGGCAAAGACGAGGGCCTGCCTGGGTGCCCAGGGCTGCGGGTGGGCAGCTGCTGGTCACAGCCCCTCCCGGCAGGGCAGGTGGGATAGGGGATGGCGATTTGCCCTGTGTGGGAGAAACTATTGTGTCCCCTCCCGTACCTGACACTTCATGAGCATGTTGAAGAACTCATCCCCGGGCTCCTGGGCGTCCCCCTCCACACGCAGGTGCCCCAGGTTGTTGTGTGTGATCCGGAGGCCTGGCAGGTTGCCCACGTTGGCACGCTGGTCATCCAGCCGTCTGCTCTGGGAGCTGGCGATGAGATCGAAGAATTCCTCCGTCTGCGGAGACGCCATTAAGGAGGACTGTGCTGTGAGCAGGGAAGAGGAGCACGCAGCAGGGTCACGGCTCTGCCTGCTCGTGCCTGAGCTGCAGCTCTGCTGTCTGCAGAAAGCCCAAATCCCCCTCCTCACCAAACTGCTCTTGAACCACCCGGGCTGCAGCTGAGCCTTACGCTGTAGAGCATGCTGGCCTCGTGTGTGACCATCGGCATCTCCTTCCACCCCGCGTGGGGGAGCACGAACAATCCCAGTGCCGGCAACACAAGTGAGCAAAACCCTACTGTCAAAGCCACAAGTGTTAGGGGGAGCAAAACCCACTGCCCCATCTTGCAACCACTCACTCCCACTCCTAAAGGCCGGCGCCACAGCACAGCCCTTAGTACCTGCCTCCCAAAAAGGCCTTGGGCTGCATCCCCGCCGTTGCCCTGCACGAAGGGCGAGCAGGACCGGCTGCGAGGAGCCTGCCTGCACACAGCTCCCGGCCCAGCAGCCAACGCCTTCAGCGGGACCCTCTGCCCTGCCTTCCCTGCGGGAAGCAGAAAAGCTCCTGTTCAGCGGAGCTGCAGTTTCCATTTCCAGCTGGAGCGCAGCTCCCCCAAGGGCCTCCGGCACGCTCCCTGGCCAACAAACTTCTTAATCGAACACATCCAATTTATGGGGCTGGGCTGTGAAAACAGCCCAGTACGCACCAGAGCACGCCTCCCGCACCAAGCCCACCACACACACGCAAACCCATCAGGCAGCACAGGGGGAAAGCAGGTGCCTTGGCAGGGTAAGGAGCAGAACCTCATGTACACATCTCCCGCTGCCGGACCTCCCGTGAGGGGCTCCCTGCTCTGTGCTGCGCTTCAGCCAGCTCCTGGAGGGCACCAAAGGTGCCACCTCAGCCCAGACGATCCAGTGCCCTGATGATAACCAGCAGCGGTTAATGAGCGATTGCTGTTGTTTCCAGCACAACTACAGGCAGCTTCTGCTGCTGCTTCCGCTCGGATTTCCACCTCGAGCCAAGAGGCACCGCTGTGCGAGGGCCAACCCGCACCTCGCTCGGGGCACAGGGCTGGGCGGGCACGGGCAACTGCGGGCAAGCACAGAGCTCCTGAGCGCTTGCATGGCTCAGCGACGGGCACCCTGCGTGGTCCCGAGGGCCGGGTGTAATTACAGGCAGGTAATCAGCAAAGCCCAGGCCTGGCTAAGCCGCTCACCTGGCGGCACATCCTTCCCAGGCCCCCCAGGAGCCCGGCCTTTTTGGGCCAGCTCAAGCAGAGGCGCTGCCGAGGCGAGCCCTGCAGACGCTCCGGCTGTCCCGAGCCGCAGGACCTGCATCACAGCACGCGTGAGGTCTGGTTCTTCTCATCCCGCAGAGCAGAGCAGAGCTGAGCCAGCCTGGGCTCAGTCTGCCGGGGAGGGGCTGGCACGAGCTGGCAGCAGGGGGTCCCAGTCCAGAACCCACACACCTAATCTCTACTCTGTAAACCCTCGGCGGGAGCATCCCACCCAGACACCCAACGCGCCTGCTGCTTTCCAGCCGTGGGGGTGGAGCGCTGGAGGAGCCATCGGGCCCCGTGCGGCTGGAGCGCAGCCCTGCGCAGGCAGTGACCCCAGCCTTGGCGTGCCTGCACCGGGCGGCATCGCCTTGGCACCACCGAGGGGCTCACGCCGGGCAGAGCAACAAGGGGACAAAAGGAGGATTTTCAAACGCAGCACACGAGCAGTGCCGGGACCTGGGCAAAGCGAGTGAGTCAGCCCCCAGCCCTGGAAACGCCTCTCGGGCAGCGCTCAATGGAAAGAGCCCGTTGGCTCCTGGCAGCTGCTGGGCAGCGAAACGCTCCCAAACAACAGACGCTGCGCTCGGGACAGGGACAAACAAAAGAAAACTGTAAGAAGCCCAGCCCAACGGGTGTTCCCGTCCCAGTGAGCACACAGCGCTTGAGGAGAGGGTGCCCTGAACCTCCCGACACAACGTGCTCTTTTTAGAGCCCCAGCTCGCGGAAACACATAAAAATCTCAGTGCTGATGCAAAGATGAGTTTCTTCCCCTTCAGCTCACAAAGAAATCTTGAAAATAACATGCCGGGAAGGCTCAGAGGCCAAAGGAGAGCTGAACAGAACGTGTGCCTACTTGTACATTCTTTATAAAGCTTCGTATTTTAAAGTCATTCTCCTAAATTACACAGCTGTTACAGCCAAATGCACTTCTGTATCAGAAAAGTGTATCTTGAAAAACTGATGTTCATTTCCACCCTATTTTTAGAAGATAAAAACCTGCTCACCTCACAGCCAACCTGCTGTCCTGCCGCAGCCTGACCTTCTCTGCGCTGCTCTGCTCTCGCTGCCGCTCCAGCCCCTGCTCCTGGCACCTACTTCTCCGAGCAGCCTTGTGCTGCGGCTCTTGCCGCGCTCGGAGGGATGTCAGGGGTCTCCTCGTCTCCTGTTTGTACTTCATGTTCATTTGGAAACCGATAAACAAATCCACCGGTTCACATGAAGTGCTTTTGAGCCCTTTGTGATGGTGCTTAAGCGTGCAAGTGTGACCTGCACATTTTAGTCTTCTCTCCAGCTTGGTTTATACAAAGGACCTCAACACCGTATCATAAAAAAAAGACATGAAACCGAAGCAAACACAGACCTGACCTGCCTTTCCTGTCCCATCTATTTGTCAGACAGCTTCCTCAATTTATCCCTGTTCTTCCTACGGGTGAGCTAGCTGTCTGCCTGCTGGAGCTTCCTACTGTTTATCCATCCTTCTGGCTTCTCTGTTCTTACGCAGCACCTATCACCACAGCATCCAAGAACTGTACAAAATCCAGAAGTTTTTTTCCTCCATGGCAACGCTTTAACTTGCCTGTGGAAGCCCCCCCAGCCCTCTGCACGCCCCAGCTCTCCAGGCTCTTACAAGGCTCCCCCAGTAATGACCATGAGCATCTTCCTCCTGGAGCTGCTGGCAGAGGCAGAAGGCCTCGTGCCAACCTCACTGTTCAGAAGGCCAGACCTTCAAAAGATCCGTACTGAAAAATCCCAAGTATATTTTGCATTTCTCTTGCTGGTTTACTCTCCAAGCCTTCATTCATATTCTCCAGCCTTTCCCTCAGCAACCACTAACATAAGAATGTTTCTTTCTTCCTTAAATGATGGAGATTGCCAAAGAACAGCTAAGTTCAGAGAGCTGAGGTTTAGGGAAAACATCACAGGATTCACAGTAAACCCATGACAGCTGGCCACACCACGGGAGCAGCATCGCTCCCATAGTAATAGTGACTTAGAAACACATCGGTGCTTACATATCCGTTCTTCCAGGGCAGGGACCGGTGTGGCAGCTGCCTCTGCAGCCTCCGATGGGCATTCTTCCAACGGGCAGCGCTGATCATCCATCCGGTTGCTCTGGAACTTGCTCAGCAGGTCAAAGAAGCATTCCTCATCCGACGGGGTCCGGTTGATTTTCTGGAAGGACAGTAAAATACAGAAGAGAGTCACAATGCCCCAAACAGCTCCCTGTCTCCAATCGCTCCGTTTGGCGTGGCCTCAGCAACGTGTCGTGCCCTCTCCTGGTCTGTTCAGGGGCCGGCTCCAGGCTGTGGCCACAGCTTGCCAAGCCCCGCAGTCTGGAGCCTGCCGGGGTCACTGCTACTTAGTCTCTCTGTCCTCCTGGCTCTGAAATAACCTCTCCCTTTTTCTCTTGCCACCCTTCGGTGTGGACAATCTAACACCGTCCTCCTAGAGGAGGCCACAGGCAGAGCATCACAAAGGTCCCCTCTCCCGCAGGGACCCCCGAATGGGAACGGGGTGAAGAGCTGCTCTGCGACTTGTGCTCCATGGAGAGCTGCAGCCCCTCCAACAGCTCACTCGCGCTGTGGCCGACCCCAGAGGCTCTGGGCACTTCTGCAGACCAAACCAGAGCCCAGCTCCTACCAGCGAGCGGATGAGCCTCGCGCAGAGCAGCCTCCGCTGCTGCAGGGCATCCTGAGCGCTCAGAACAAACCGGAGGCTGAAAGGGAAAGAGGGGAGGAAAGGGGACAGCATTCATCCTGGCCCAGCTCCACGGGGAAGAGGAGCTTCTGGGCTGGCAAAGGGGTGAGCTCAGAGAGGGACCATGGTCAGGAGCGCGAGGGACGAGGGGGAACCGTGCGGACGCCCTGGCTGAAGCCCTGTCCTGTGCCCAGCTGTGGCTCAGCTCGAGCTCGGGCACGCCAGCACTCAGCCGTCCTCTCTAACCAGCTAAATTTAACCTTTACAGGCCACTGCCCCCCACACTCCCAGTGCTTCTTTTCGGTGCTCCTGTGTCCTCAGCACACCACTTGTAACAGTCACCGAGCTGCAAATGACACAAAATGATAGTTTTTCAGGAAAACAGTTCTTGCACGAGAGCCCCAAATAAGCACCTTGCACTAGACAGTGATATATTTAAGTCGCACTGCAGAAGGTTCACGTTCAAGGCAGCCTTTCAAAAGCACCGTGTTGTGTCCAATTCCAGTGCAGAGAGGGGCTGGGTGCCCCGTGCTGGGAGAGCGAACCCGGAGTCCTGCTCTGGAGCAGCCGGTGCAGTAGGAACAGCCGATCTTTCCAAGGAGCCACTCAGAACGGGATATAAAATTAGACAGCGATAAGAGGGGCATCTGCCAGGCTCAGGAAGGGTCCCTGTGTGCTGAGCTGGTCCCACCTGATGCTGGAAAAAATACCACAACAGAAACGAACCCAAAACTCCTACAACTGGATCTGCCTCTCCTGAGCTACCTTCCAGCATGGGGCTGGGGAAGGCCAGCCTGGGACGGGGCACCGGGTCCCTCCTGGGAAGCAGCACACCCCACCGGAGAGAGCCAGCCGGGAGCGCCAGGCCTTTCAGCGGGGAAAGGGATCCCCTTGGCCATGCACGAAGCAAAGCCCCTCTCTCAGCTCTGTCAGTGGCCACCCTGGGCGGCCAGGAGCCCTCCCTCTCCTACCACATGCAGTGCCGTTCCCAGCAGAGAGCTCTTCACCGGGACAGAGGCACGCGACGCCCTTCAAGGGAGGGCTGGGCTGGGGAGAGCCTTGTGCTGACAGGGTTAAAGCCGCAAGTTGGATTCAGTAAATGAAGGGAAACAATTTTCCCGTGTGCTAAGCGAAGCAGATGAGATGCACTCAGCTTCTATTTAGGGCAGCGTCAAAATTAGCAGCGGGCCAGAGAGGAACATTAGCAATGTGGGAGCTGATCGGGGAGGGGAAAAACCCCTCTCACCTCTTTCCACGTGCCGATCCGCTAATGAAACAGTGGCTCGGACAGACCCTCTGAACCATCGACAGTTGCACCTTGGAAATCAAAGCTTGCTTGGGCTTGAACCAAGGATGAACTACATCTCTCACAGCTCTGCTATGTTGGCTTGCGTGACCCAAATTTCAGGCTAGAGGAGGAAGCCGGCTCATTCACACCAAACCTCCCTCTAGCTTCCCCGCAAACGCACAGAGTAAATCAGAGCAGTCGCAGGTCCACAGAAGAACTTTTGCCTTGCAGAGCGTTGGTCAGAGCCCCCAGCTCGGGCTTCCCCCGGCAGAGACCAGATTCCCCTGGGGCCCATCCTGCCAGGGACCCTGCAATTTCCCGTGTCAGGATCTCTGCTCAAAACGTGCCCGGGAGAGGAAAGGATGCTCTGAATCAGTTGGAAGAGCAGCCGGTGCATGCGAAGCGCGGGACAGGGCTGGCTGCACGCCTGAGTGCCTCCCAGTACGGTGGTACCCGGAGGGGCAGGAGGCCGGTGCCCGTGGGCCAGCGTTGGGGCTTGCACGTGCTGCGCCAGCCCGGGACATGGGGAGCCGCAGGGCCTGCAGCAGCACCCGCGGACGGCAGGCTCCCTCCAGCGCTGCCCCAGCCAAACCGCGCCCCAGGCCCGCACCTCTCTAATTAAAATGCCCAAATATGACAAGGCACGGAGCACTTGGCTCCCTCCACCTGCAGCCTGCTCCTGGCCCCGAGGAACGAGCTGCAAGGGCAGATGGATGTGCAATCACACCCTGGGGCCCACCGTCTGCTGCCGAGCTGTGCTTGCCCAGGGCTTGGCACATCCAGGACGGTCAGGAGGCTTCCCAAGAGCCAGGGCATCCCCTAACGGGGCTGAGCAACAGTCCTGTGATAGCACAGACACAAAACAACCAGTCACCACGGGCCCAAGACCCAGAGCCCTAAATGGTTCCTGGGCAGCAGCTTTGGTTTCCAGCCCCGAGATCACTTCTTACCCCACGGCTGGTGTCTCTGTCTGGCGTCATCACCCATCCTCCATCTCTAGCACCGCAACTGCCCAAATTCCGCCGACAGTTATCTTCCTCCGGTTCGCCAGCCTCCATCACGGGCAAAGCCGCAAACCAACCCCTTTTGCACTGGGCAGAGAGACCCGGGGCTTTTGCTGGCACCTGCGGAACGGGGGCTGCTGGTGCTGCAGAGATCACCCCCACAGCAGCTTTGGCTGCAAACGTGCTCGCCCTCAGCACGGGCACAGAGACACGCATGTCTCTCCCCATGTGGGGACCAGGACACGCATGAAGCCTCTGCTCCTGCTCCCTGACCCTGGGCAGGACAGGGACGGCCACCATCCCAGGCAAGGCAGAGGCCCTGTACCTGGGGGTCAGAGCTCCCATTTTCTGAGAGTGGTATTTCCACCTGGATGCTGCCGGCTCATCGGAGAACTGAGCAACCTGGCTAAGGACAGCCTGGGAGCAGGACACGCTCACCTGAAACAGGCCTCCCTCACTGGAAGGCATCCAGGCTTTTGCATACATTTGCTGGTGGATGAGCATGCTGTTTAACCTGCCAGGTTGGATCCAGGATGTGTAAAACACAGCTGAGGTGTTGGAAAGCAAGCGAACAGCAGCTGCGGGGAGCGATGGGGAGCCTGCTGCCGCTCCTCTCCCTGCAGCGATGCCGCCCCAGGGAGCCCCGCTGCTCGGCCAGGACAGGCGGCTCTTCAGGAGGGGTCGGGGGACCCCAGTGCTGGGGCTGCCCCAAGCCCCTGCCTCTCCCAGGCTGCAGGTCGCTGCCCTGCAGAGCACAAATGCACCCTACTTCCTCTCCGATAAACTCTCACTCATGCTAAGTAAAACCTTTCACAGTCTCTGGCCAAGAAGGTCCTGGGCTGCCCGGCTCTACCCCCCAGGCACAGGATTGCAGGGCACAGACCAGCAGCTCATGGAGAAACCCCTCACATCGGCTGCTCCGGGTGTGCAGGTGAGGCCAAGGCTGAAGCGATCCCAGGCAAAGCAAAACAAAGTCAGAACGGACTCCTGTGCCTAAACCCCCTTGGCCGTTTTTCACTCCAATTCAGGAAAGCCATTAAACAAATGTAGAATGCCTAACTGCAAGAACTAAACCACTTTCCAGCTCCCAACACCTGAAGCCACAGCCCACAAATGCCCCACAGCGTTTCTGCCCTTGGACACGGCTGTCCACCGGTGCCTCTGCAGCTAGAAGAGCCTTTCTCTGACGTTCCCATTCCAGTGCCCCATCCCGCGATCGACAGAGGACATTTTAATTATTTCTGTGCTAGTTTTACATGGTGTTCCCATGCCTGAGGTCCCTGGGGGCCTGTGGAGCAGGACATGGTGCTCCCTGGCAGGCAGAGGGGCATCCTCATGCTCTGCCCCACACACACATCCCGGGCCAGAAGCCGTAAGTCTTTGGTCACAGCAGGGCAATACTGCTGGCACTGTGGCTTGGGCTTTCTGCTCCACCACACTGCTTCAGCTCCTAGCAGCACCCTGTCCCCAGTCTCGCTTCAGCATCTGAGCAGCCCATACTCACCACTGGCCCCGGCTGTGCTCCCCTGCGGTGCACCAGCACCCACTGTTAGAAATACCCTCAACCAAACGGCTCTGGCGACGGCGGCTTCTCCCACAGCTTCCTGCTGTCCCCACAGGGCTTAAAGTCAGCTCGGGTAGAGCCGGAGGGCTCCCTGGGAAGCAGCGGCAGCCAGGGCGGGATGCCGCTCTCCCCGCATTTGCTGCTGAGCCCCACCAAAAGCCTGTCTGATTGCGGCTGTGCAACAACACGCTCCCGGGTTGCTCTAGGACATGGCTCCAGAAGCCCCCAAGGACCATGGCAGATGATTTCTGCGCTGGCAGAGCCATGGCACGCCTCCCAGCAATTCCTGCCACTGCCACGTGCCAAAAGCACCTGATGTACCATGCATGGGTGAAACGTTCCCTTCGAAGGGAGCGTTGCCCAGCAGACCAAACTGCAGACGCTCTCATGAGCTACCCAAAGGGCCAAACCTTGTTCCTCTGTCAGATCAGCTTCTCTTTTCGCAGCCGGTGTCCCCACGGGCTGCTGGCCTGCCTTTGGTCCCCCACCTCTCCTCCAGGCTCAACTTCTGGCAGACCTGCCCCGATGCAGCAAGGACTCTTCAAGCTCGAGGACTGCTCACTCCAGCTTTGCCCAGCCCTCCGAGGGGGACGGCGCTGTCCTACCTGCGGGCAGGACC